TCGCAAACAGAGTGGTAGACGGTTGGAACAAGTTAGGTGAGAAGGTGGTGGAGGCCAAGACCGTCAGTAGTTTCAAAGCGTTATGTGACAAAGAGTGTTGGGAAGACAGGATACCACGAGCATAGCTCTCATCCTGTAACTACACTTAGGTAATTACACACACACACACGCACGCGTGTGCATGCGTGTGTATGTGTGTGTGTCTATATATATATATGTCGTACCTAGTAGCCAGAACGCACTTCTCGGCCTACTATGCAAGGCCCGATTTGCCTAATAAGCCAAGTTTTCCTGAATTAATATATTTTCTCAATTTTTTTTCTTATGAAATGATAAAGCTATCCATTTCATTATGTATGAGGTCAATTTTTTTATTGGAGTTAAAATTAACGTAGATATATGACCGAACCTAACCAACCCTACCTAACTTAACCTAACCTATCTTTATAGGTTAGGTTAGGTAGCCGAAAAAGTTAGGTTAGGTTAGGTAGGTTAGGTAGCCGAAAAACAATTCATGAAAACTTGGCTTATTAGACAAATCGGGTCTTGCATAGTAGGCTGAGAAGTGCGTTCTGGCTACTAGGTACGACATATAATAAATAAATAAATAAATAAATATATATATATATATATATATATATATATATATATATATATATATATATATATATATATATATATATATATATATATATATATATATATATGTCGTACCTAGTAGCCAGAACTCACTTTTTGGCCTACTATTCAAGGCCCGATTTGCCTAATAAGCCAAGTTTTCCTGAATTAATATATTTTTTCTAATTTTTTTCTAATGAAATGATAAAGCTACCCATTTCATTATGTATGAGGTCAATTTTTTTTTTATTGTAGTTAAAATTAACGTAGATATATGACCGAACCTAACTAACCCTACCTAACCTAACCTAACCTATCTTCATATGTTAGGTTGGGTTAGGTTGCCGAAAAAGGTAGGTTAGGTTAGGTTAGGTAGGTTAGGTAGTCGAAAAAACATAAAATCATGAAAACTTCGCTTATTAGGCAAATCGGGCCTTGCATAGTAGGCTGAGAAGTGCGTTCTGGCTATTAGGTACGACATATATATATATATATATATATATATATATATATATATATATATATATATATATATATATATATATATATATATATATATATGTATATTATTAAATATGACCGAAAAAGTAAGATTAATAATTCTAACACGAATTTTCTCAATCTTTCGTACATTACGCTTCACTGTTGGAGGTAAATCAAAAATCACTTCTCCAAAATTCATTTTTATTTCTAGTCTGACGCGACACGGGCGCGTTTCGTAAAACTTATTACATTTTCAAAGACTTCACAAATACACAACTGATTAGAACTTACGTATCTCCGATTTTATATCTACATTTGAGTGAGGTGGGAGGGGTGATGTGGCATTAACACAAGACAGAACAAGAGGGGATATTAATAGGGTATTAAAAGTATCAACACAAGACAGAACAGAAACAATGGACAAAACAAACGGAGGAAAGGGTCCTGAAAGATATTGTTAATAGAAACGTTATCCCTACAGACAAAAATCAGAGGATACAACTGACGATTTACTATAAAACCAGAAAAACGGCCAGCCTACTCATGAGAAACTCTCCAGACACAAAACAGAACGCTCTAAAAGAGACTAACGTCGTCTATGCCTTCAAATGCCCACTTGGGGACTGTAAGCTCCAAAAAACCCAGTATATAGGCAAGACAACAACATCTCTTTCTAGGCGTTTAACGATGCATAAGCAACAGGGCTCCATTAAGGAACATATAATCTCTTCCCACAACCAAACCATCGCCAAAGAAATCCTAGTAAACAACACAGAAATCATCGATAGATACAGCGATAGCAGGCGGCTTGACGTTTGCGAGGCACTACACATCAAGAAGTCAACACCAGCAATCAACAGCCAATTATTGCACAACTATATTCTACCCACCTCAAGACTCCGCTCCAATATAGAAGCATCAAGAAATATGGACCAATAGGCTTTCTACAAACACTTCTATTCAATACCCATTGTTTCTGTTCTGTCTTGTGTTGATACTTTTAATACCCTATTAATATCCCCTCTTGTTCTGTCTTGTGTTAATGCCACATCACCCCTCCCACCTCACTCAAATGTAGATATAAAATCGGAGATACGTAAGTTCTAATCAGTTGTGTATTTGTGAAGTCTTTGAAAATGTAATAAGTTTTACGAAACGCGCCCGTGTCGCGTCAGACTAGAAATAAAAATGAATTTTGGAGAAGTGATTTTTGATTTACCTCCAACAGTGAAGCGTAATGTACGAAAGATTGAGAAAATTCGTGTTAGAATTATTAATCTTACTTTTTCGGTCATATTTAATAATATATGTCTACAGGAAAGACTGCTACCAAAATATACTAATATATATGTATATATATATGTATATATATATGTATATATATATGTATATATGTATATGTATTATATATATATATATATATATATATATATATATATATATATATATATATATATATATATATATATATATATATATATATATATAAATGAAAACTCACCCCCCAGAAGTGACTCCAACCCATACTGCCAGAAGCACTCTGCAACTGATGTACAGGATCCCTTAACCACTCGACCATTGTCTTTGTAAAAGTAAGAAATGTCTTGCAAAACGCTTCTAGGCATCAGACCACAAATAAAATATGAAAATGAACCTTGGAGAGTTAATTTTTCAATTACCCTCAACAGTGAAGAAAAACGTAAGAAATACCAGTATTGAGAAGATTCGTGTTAGAATCATTAATCTTACCCTTTCGGTCATATTCAACAACATATGTTCACAAAAAGGACTGCTACCAATAAATAAATAAAATATATATATAGATACTGTATATTTATTTATTTCCCCCCCACCGTAGGGACGGTGGGGCAAATAGCCTCGGCTACCATCATCTTTTTTACGGTCACAGTGGGTCGGGTGGTTAAGGTACCATGTACACCAGTTGCATTGTGCTCCTGGCTGTCTAGGTTCGAATCACTTCTCGGATGTGGAGTTTTCAGTCGCATATATGCTTGGGGACTGTTCAAGCTTGTTTGCTTTTGTGTAGCGCATGTGGCCCTACAAAGTGAGGTGATTTGATGTAGTATAGCTCATCAAATCATAGTAGGCCGAGAAGTGCGTTCTGGCTACTAGGTACGACATTTTATATATATATATATATATATATATATATATATATATATATTTTATATATATATATTTTATATATATATATTTTATATATATATATATATATATTTTATATATATATATATTTTATATATATATATATTTTATATATATATATATATATATTTTATATATATATATATTTTATATATATATATATATATTTTATATATATATATATATTTTATATATATATATATTTTATATATATATATATTTTATATATATTTTATATATATTTATATATATATATATATATATATATATATATATATATATATATATATATATATATATATATATGTGTGTGTGTGTGTGTGTGTGTGTGTGTGTGTGTGTGTATGTGTATGTATGTATGTATGTTTGTGCCTGTCTAAGTTTGGAGGCCAGATGATTGGGCTAGCCTCGCCCAACTTTGCCATGTAAATTGTTTGGGGTGTGGGACAGACATAGGCTGACCCTGACCAGCCTAAGTTAAATATTTAAGAAATATTAGCACTTATAGAGAAGGGGGATGAAATGGCAGGAAGAGAAAGGGTAGGGAGATGAGGGGATAAAATGGGGGTTAGAGGTTTGGGTTCCCTACCAGACTTCTAATCTTCAAGCCACATTTTATTCCATTCCCATCTTGCCAGGTATGACTTCCTCAGTGTTCTGGAGAAATGCCCCTTACTGAGAAATGGGAGGGTGGGGAAGAGACTTCAGTTGCTCATTGGACTCTCCCCTCCCTACCAAGTGCATTGGTTGGTTGTTCTTGGTCTTAAGACAGATGAATGTTGACATGGGAAGCCAGCAGCTGCCATGGTGCTGCCACCTGCTGGTGGTCAGCTGTTATTAGGGTGGGGGTGTATGATATAACTACTGGGTAGCTTGTTTGCAAAGTTATCTGCTGCAGTGTTTGTTTACTTTCTATGAACAATATAGGTGTCTATTTTACTTTGTTCCTTTCTGGAGATGTATCGACAGTGGTCATGAGCCTCCTGCTCCCTGCACCTCTGATGAGGGGGGCTGGGGGCAAGGTTTTGCCCTTAGATCTCTGATAAGCTATTAAGGACTCTCAAGGATCGATGTGTAGCTAGCTACAAGGAGCCACCAAGGCCAACCCACAAAGAGGTGTTTCATTACATTCAACTTTTTTTTTTTAAATGTTTCAGTGGCAATAAATTTAAGGATAGACATGAGGATTGCATCGAGTGCAGCAAACTTTATTTATCAATTAGGTGTTTAATTGAAACTAGGCGTTTTCCAAAAAGTTTGCACAATTTTCCAGCCTCGATAAATTATCAAAATACCACAGAGCAGATCCATATTATATTCAATATTTTATTTTGTTAACAATTTATAAGTCATATATAAATTTTTAACATATTGTAAAGTAATAATAAAAAAATGAATATGCATTTTTGTTTTATTCAAAGCAAATAGCTTTAGAATTATTTATGTTTTCATTTACTTATGTATCAAATATTGAATACATATTAGCACTGTTTATACAAAAACCACCTTTGAGCTCAACTGTACCAATGGTATGAGTCAATTTGGAGCCAACTCGAAGCATCTGGTTCGTGCATACAAACCATTCAAACTTCTTTTATACTGAACTTAACTTTCTAACCTTTTAAATATATCTTACCATAGTGATGAATACAAATAAAAATAATAATAATAATGGTAACAAAAATCTATATAATTTGTTTAAAACTAAAGTCTTACTACATGATAAAACAGACCTCTGCGGCAGCCGAGGAGCTATTCACAGCCTGGCAGTCAGGACAGAACCACTCTTCGATGGGTACACGAGTCAATGGTGGGTCAAGGCACTCCAGGTGATAACCCAAATCACAGCCATCACACAACAGCAGCCGGTCCTCACGGTCACTCCGACCGCAAACCTAACAGGCAAATTCAGGAATTCATTTCCCCACTGTAAGAAAGCTTTTTCTTGTACTTCTTGACAAGACTAAATTAAGAAAATGTAAACAATTAAATAAGGAATAACTAAACAATTTTGTGTAACTTAAGCAAACGGTTAATGTATCCTATCTATGGGGTATGATGTTTACAAGCAATGTATCCTCACAAAGAATACACAGCATTTTGTATGCCATTATCTGCAACAGACAAAATATAGTGTACAGTTATGAAAAGTAGCAGTTCACAAACAGCCGTTTTCTGTGTGAGTTGGTAAGGTAAGGTGGATGTCTTGGGTTCATGTGTTTTAGTGCCCTATATTTTGTCCTGTGTGGCAACTTGAGAGAACGGGCTGCTACAATAACCAGTGGTCAGTTTAATTTGTGCTTGACTCTAGCAGACTGGTCTCAGACTGTGACTGTGAGCAAATGAAGCACAAAATAAAATGAAAGATAGTAATCTAAATAATGATATTGTTATATTTTGACCATGTAACGTCAATACTTATTAAATTTTTAAAATTATACTCTATAAAACTCTGAAAGTAAAAATAAAATATATAACTAGAGCAGAATGCATTCAGAATAATATGAAAAAGTTGAAATAAATATAAAAAACAAAAAGCATAAAAAGCTGGTATATGACAGGATTTGTACCAAATTAAAATTACTGTACCATACTGTTCATCTCCAGATTGCCTTACAGTAAGTACGTGCAGTTCTGCTTGTGCATACAAAATTTTTCATCTGATGCCAAAGTTACAGCACAAACTTTCACACGCGGCCATGTATTCTATAACAGTACTGTACTTTTCATTCAAAAGTCCATTGTGCGTGTTCATACCATCTCACCACAGTTGACGCTTTGCCTATTATGTACATACCCAGGCACTGGATTTGCATCCAATGCATAATTGCATTTGCTGCCTTGTCCAACTCTCTTTCTCACCCAACTTCCTGTAGGTAGGCTCTTATCTACAAGTTTCCACAATTCAATCCAATCACAGTTTCTCACTGTGACTAGTTCCTTCAAATATACTATGGTTTTGAACAAAATGACACAGTAGTCACTGGCTCCTAGGAGAACATCATATTCTGAACACTAGATTTAGTATAGTTGGAGAAGGGGTGAGGGGGGGGGGTTGGAAGCAGAAAAAGAAAAAATGCATCTGTAAATGCTAATATCTCTAAAAGATTTTAACTTAGGCTGACCCTGACCAGCCTAGGTCTGTCCTGTACCCAAGACCATTCCCCCAAGCATCTGGCCTCCAACCATGGACAGATCAACAAACACAATCAGTTAAGGATATGTATGTTGGGCCAGGTAAGTGCTATGATGATGGGAAAATAAAAGCTGAAAAGTCTATGTTTGACTCCAAATTAATTTTGGGTCCCATATGACTGCTGAGAGATACTATTTAGCCAAATATTCCCAGTTTGCTAACTGTAGGCAGTAAATATGGGTGACTAACTTACCCACTGCTGCCCACTTGATGGGGGCGGAGTGGAAGTAAAACATCAATTATGACACTAGCTCTCCACTTATGCTAGTTGCTTAACTTAGAGAATGTACCCGTGATTGGCCTCGAACCCGTTGATGATGTAATAAGATACTGTACAATAAATTTTATAACTAGCTTATCAAGACTGTAACTTACTTAGCTAAATGAATTTTGGGGTTCTGTCCCTGGGTCCATCATATGCTTGTAACCCTTTTCACTACAGCTCACAGGATGGGTATGGGGGGTGCATAATAAATTAACTAAACTAGACCATATGGGCAACCAACCCGTTCTCGCAAATTCGTAAAGTCAATTGACTTATTAACTACGTGCATAGGTGATATACTAAACATAATAGATACCCTTAAAAAGCTTCATAGAAAACACCGACCTTACCTAACCTTGTTAGTATCTTAAGATAAGCATCTTATTGCTTCGTAATTAATTATTACTTAACCTATACCTATAATAGGTTAAGTAACAATTGTAATTACGAAGCTATAAGATGCTTATCTTAAGATACTAACAAAGTTAGGTAAGGTCGGTGTTTTTTATGAAGCTTTTTAAGGGTATCTTTTATGTTTAGTATGTCACCTATGCACTTATTTAATAAGGCAATATTGACTTTACGAATTTGCGAGAACGGGTTGGGGCAACATTGGTATTTAAACATTAACAAAAAATGTCATCATGATAATTGCATTTCAAAATATTATCAACACACTGATGGCAGTATTTTGAGGGGTTAATAGTGTTATTTTGATTAAATTGGCATCAAGGTTAGTACTGTATGCTGTGTGTGCGCGGTGTCTTGCCTTCCCTATAACACTTTGAAGCTCCAGATGGTTTTGAAATCCATCACTCATAAATTACTCCAAACATTTGCAGCTGTTTGAGAAAGAAGAAGGAAAAAAAAAACCTTTCATTTATGCAGACGATGAGTCACAATAATGTGGCAGAAGTAGTGATGACCAAACCACACATCAGAAGCGTGAGAAATGAAGTCCGGTCCATCCTGGACCATTATCAAGTCGTATGTGATAATTACTTGATAATGGTCCAGGATGAGCTAAAACGTTATTGTTGCTCCATCTTCTATTGTGTGGTTTGGTCATCAACTTTTATTGATTTTTTTCAGCACCTTTGTTTTTTAGCTCGAATTTACATCTCGTGTTTTAAAAAATTCCTTCTAGTCAACTTTATAGATTCTTGTTGTGATGTTTGTATTTACACAGTATACAAAAAAAAAAAAAAATATTGGGACTAATACTGCGACTAGAGAAAATAGTTGTGTGTACTTAAAAAATCAGTGATTAATGGTTGACATAATAATAACAGAAAGGTGTAAAAGGGAGAAACAAACAAGGGTATCAGCACTGAAGAAAGTAGAAAGGATAAGAAGACAGGAAATGTTATAGTTCGCTGTACAGCAGTGCAACATACCAAAGTGTGTATGAAATGGAAACAATGACAATAAGGCAGAACAAGCTCTTATATTTAGGATACATACAAGAACAAACACAGACTGTTATAAATAAAGTGCTGAATACAGAGAGAGAAACTGAGATGAAGAAATAATATAGGAGATAACATAGATAAAAGTAGGCTATATGAGGTAGGCCACATACAAATGGAAGGCGAAATTAAATCTAGATAAAGAGGCCAATTATTAGTAATTTGAGTGCAGTATGTCAAATTTGAAATATGCAGCTGATACATTTATTCAAGCAGAAAGGAAGAGAGCTAAAGAGACTACATAATCAAACATTTTACTGAGGCATGTGGTGGAGAATAATGAAACAACGTCTGTGAAACAAACGTGATTGGAAGTGTTTGATCAGTTTAAGTACCTAGGATGTGTGACTGATGAAAAAGAGCTATCTTTGCAGTTGAGGTTGACAGTAGGGTTAATAAGAAACAGCTAGCGCAATAAAAGCTTTAATAAGGAGAGAAGCAAGATAGGAATAGAAGCAGCTAGAGGTCAGAATGAAGAAGAGGTACTGCAGACTTATGTAGGGTTGTACATCGGTGTGATATGAAAGTGAAAATCAAAAGTTAAAGCAGCAGAAATGGTCAATCTGAGAAGCATGTGCATTGTTAGGAAAACAGATTCAAAATTAAAATATGCAGAAATGTGGCATGCTGAACCACTGGATTGCACTTATGAGTTTGATTTATGGGTTATGAGATCAAATCAGCTGGTGTATAGATGTGCTTCCAATCATCAGAGATCTCTGGGTACAGTGGCATCATACACAAAAATTTGCCACTTCCTTGGTATCCAGAGAACCACTTTGAGGACAACATGTAAGCAGCTTCCATCTCGCCACATCACTGACTAAATGTCCTGGTATCTCTTCTAACAGGACATTCATGGATTATTTGAAGATATTTGTAAACATTTCATTATTTGTAATGAGAGTTCAGCATCCTGTTAGACCATGTGCATTGTGCAGTGAACGATATAGCGACATGAAGTGACAAACAGTAAGTCCATGGTGATATTGCGAGAGGAGGGTGATCAGGTGCAACAGGCCAGTGTCTAACCCACAGCTGAAGCACATTTTTGTATCACAGGCTCAAAGTAAGACAACTACAATTTCTTTGTCATTTTCCCATACCCTACATATGTTTTTCTGTAGCATCATAGGAACAAAATATTTGATTCTTTTCTTATTTTGGCTGGGGAGGGAGGAGGTGCCAATAAGCATAACTTTGCCACTGTCAACATGACAAACCAAGAGTAAGGCAACAGTAATTTGCACTTAATATATACCGTATTAACCTCATAATCTCCAAGTTTTTCATAGCACTGAAATAATTATTTTTATTTTTTTATTAAAAACAATAACACCTATTTTCCCTTAGAAATTTTTTGAAATTTAATTACAGCATTTGTTAGTTAAATTTTTGTGTCCAGAAATTCCCTGTCTAACACTTTCTCAACTTACAACGACCAAACTCGCCTATAATTTGTTCTATTTTCTTAACTCACCACCTTGATTCTACCTAAATGAGGTTCTAGGAATTCTCCTATTCCCCAAGCCCAGCTCGGGGCCAGGCTTGACTTGTGATAACTTGGTCCAACAGGCTGTTGCTAAGGGTGGGCCGCAGGACCACATATCCACTACAGCCCGGTTGGTCTGTCACTTCTTGAAGAAAACTGTCTAGTTTTTCTTGAAGATTTCCACTTTTGTTCCGGCAATATTTCATATACATGCTGGGGGATATATTTAACAACCGTGGACCTCTTATGTACATACAGTGTTCTCTGATTATGTCAATGGCACCTCTACTCTTCACTGGTTCAATTCTACATTTCCTTCCATATCGTTCACTCCAGCATCATGTTATTTTACTGTGCAAATTAGGAACCGGGCCCTCCAGTATCTTCCATACACAGTATATATTATTTGGTACTTCTCTCGTCTCCTTTCTAGAGTATACTTTGAGACGATCCCAATAGTTTAGGGGCTTTATTGTGTCTATGTGAGCTGTATATGTTCTCTGTATTCCCTCTATTTCAGCTATCTCTTCTGCTATGAAGGGAGAAGTGAGTATGAAACATTACTCAAAGCAGGACAGCACAAGCAATTTGAACAGTATGAGCATTGTGATGGGATCCCTGGTGCCATTTTCTCTGTCAACAAGAACAAATTGTTCTTTTAATTTTGGTAGACAGGCGAAGAGTGAATTCGAGGGAGGAAAGTGGGAGAACAACATGAGTGAGGAAGTAGGAAGTGAGAGTGGACAACACATAGGCTAGGGTAAGCAATAAGACTAGATTGAAGACAGGAGAAAATGCACTAGGGTAAGCAATAAGACTAGATTGAAGACAGGAGAAAATGCACTGTTATGTATTGTAGATAACAATCCATAAAGAGAACGGTACGCCTGGTTTTATGAAGTGGTGCCGCTGCTATAGATGATTATTGGATTGTGGGATTGCTTATTTATGTGAAGTTATACTGTATATTTTACAGTGTCATTAATGATGTAAAGTATGAGTAATATTTGTAATGCTCTTATTATTTATTATCAGTAACATCTTATGTTACTCACCTCTTATTTTCTAGGCGGATGCCTCCTCACCCCACGAAAGTGAAACTGGATAGTGAAAGTGTATGTAAATAAGCAAAACAAATGCACATACAAAACACATTGCTCTGCAAATTCATGTTGATGTCATGAATTCATCTTCACTTCTCACAAGGAAAAAAAAAATCAACAACTTTCTAGTTTCTGTCTGTACAGCACTTCAAGTCTTCTCGTAAGGAAAATTAACACTTTCGCGCTCTCGGCGCTCAAAAAAAAACAATACCCCAGATGCTTTCGGCACTTCGCGCGCCTACGCGGTAAGACCGAAAAAGTGTACACTCTTTTGACTGTCCTGACAATAATTGAAGGCGCACGTATTTAAATTTGGTATCACTGTGTTCGCAATGAAATTGTCTATAAGAGCATACCTATAAAATGCCGCCCAAGCATAAGGAGTATCAACACCAAATAAAAAACTATGCAGATCACTCGCCGAGAGCGCCAAACAGCAACAAAATGTTTCCACTCTCTTAATGGTTGCGAAGCCTACAGTTGTCCTACATCGCTAATTTTGGTATCATTGGAATCGCAATAAAATTCTCTACACGGACATATGCATATGAATGTTTAATATAGGTAATTGCCCACCCGCAAGAGTGTGTGAAGTGGAGAGTAGTTAGCCGCGAGCGCACTGGCGAAAACACAGGTGGGAAATCATGCTTGGAAAGTTTATACGTTTCCTGACCCTACTTTTCTATGTACGTATTTCTTTTTTATACCAATGTGTTCGCAATAAAATTTTCTATAAGATGAACTGTATAACATTTGTACAAAGCATGTGTAAGAGAAGCGCCAAATATAGAACCACGTCGCTCAGTATGCGTTCGCGGCAGAAACGAACGCATTGTTTTCGTTCGTTTGATGTTTGTCATGTTTATACTTGTTGAAACATTTTATAATTTGTATGACAGTGATCGCAGTAAAATTCCCTACACAGACATATACATAACATACAAATATTTCCCACGTGTTGGATATATCAACGGCTAAAGGGAACCCACTGCCACACGCTCGCCACACCCCCAAACATACTTTGTGTATTTTTTTTTTACTCATAGAAGTTTATGTGATATAATATTCATTCTGGTACCAAAAAATTCGCAAATAAATTCTCTACAAAACAAAAGTATCCCCATCCATTTCGGTTAAAAAATGGAATTTATAGAAATATTTTTTCGATTGACGAGAAAAGTAGGCTGTTATGCGGAATCGTAAGAAAAACCAGTGACGAGTTATCTCTAATATAAAGCGCGAAAGTGTTAAGAGAAAATTTTATCAAACAAAAATTATGGAGTTTTATTTTTATTTCCCGTTATCAATGAAGAACAGCAGAGCCAGTTTTAAAGATTTATAAATATCTACTTACCTCACAGAAGGTGTGGTCCTCCTGTTCCTCTGGTGGAAGGTCATCAGGCTTTACTTCCTTAACGGTAACTCGTCGGATAACACGCCCCCCAATGCGCTGGCGCACCAACACCAACAAAAATGGTGTCCGATCTTGAGGGCAGCTGTTATTTGTCTGTTTATAAAATTTGAAGAATTTGTAAATACTGTATAAATTTAAAGGATTATTTTAAGCATCAAATAACTAAATATAAAAAATGACTTCAAGATTGACATTTTTGTATTAATGCATGCGAGTATTTAATAACAAGTACAGGTATGTGTACTGGATCTGACGTCTACTTTCCATTATGTCACAATGAAAATAAAATATTAACAATAAAGTTCCTAGAAAATAAGAATAATGACTAATTTTAAACAATTAAGAGAAGAGCTAAAGAGCTCCAACCCTAAAACATTTAATAAGCTGAGATTATGCAAGATAAAGAACACTTTGCAAAGAAATCTTCACTGAAAATCCAAAAGCATTAAAGTAAGGCATTAAAGATTGAAGTCTGATATCTTTATATTCCCAATACATAAGAGAATAACGTAAAATTTAACCCTAAGAGCAGAATATGTCAAAAGTTTGTGAAACAAATGATGTCCTGTGCACAAATGTGGAGTAAGAGCAGACTGTTTAGAAAAGAAACATCATCATAGGATTTCTTTCACCAACACAAAGTGAAGATTTATTATTATATTTTAGATTGAAATTATCAAAATCTTTATATACAAACTTACTCTTGACCACTCGAGAATACATTCAAGGCAAAATGAATGTTCACAGCCTTCCGGTGATCCAATTTCTCCTTTCATACGTCCCAGGCAGATAGCACATGGTTCAGCAGCTCCTTCTCCATTGTCACTACTCTCAGATTCATTTCCTTTTTCAACTAAGGATTTTGTTGTGAGGGAATTATTTGCAGATGTTGATTGAACTTCGTCATCAGAATCATATTCTTCACTGTCTGTTGCTGAAAAAAGAAATATATGTACTAGTACAGTATATATAAATATGAGTAAATGTGTATATGTATGAATGAATGAATGAATGAGAGTGAGTGAGTGAGTGAGCGTGTGTGTGTACTCACCTAGTTGTGCTTGCAGGGGTTGAGCTGTGGCTCTTTGGTCCTGCCTCTCGACTGTCAATCAACTGGTGTACAGATTCCTGAGCCTACTGGGCTCTATCACATCTACATTTGAAACTGTGTATGGAGTCAGCCTCCACCACATCACTGCCTAATACATTCCATCTGTTAACTACTCTTGACACTGAAAAAATTCCTTCTAATGTCCCTGTGGCTCATTTGGGCACTAAGTTTCCATGTGTTTCCCCTTGTTCACATCCCACCCATGCTAAACAGTTTATCTTTATCTACCCTGTCAATTCCTCTGAGAATTTTATAAGTAGTGATCATGTTTTCCTTAACTCTTCTGTCTTCCATTGTCGTGAGGTTCAGTTCCAGCAATCTTTCCTCGTAGCTCATACCTCTCAACTCGGGGACTAGCCTGGTGGCATACCTCTGAACTTTTTCTAGCTTCATTTTGTGTATGAGTAGATGTGGACTCCAAGCTGGAGCAGCATATTTCAGTACTGGTCTGACATATGAGGTATACAAGGTTCTGAATGATTCTTTACACAAGTTTCTGAAGGCAGTTCTTATGTTCGCCAGCCTTGCTTATGCCGTTGATGTTATCCTCTTGATGTGGGCTTCAGGGGACAGGTCTGGTGTGATATCAACCCCCATTTCTCTTTTCCTGACTCCTGAAGGATTTCCTCTCCCAGCTGGTAACTTGTGTTCAGCCTTCTGCTCCCTATGCCTATCTTCTTCACTTTGCACTTGCTCGAGTTAAACCCTAGTAGCCACCAGGACTCCGCTGGTGACATCACACCAGTCTGAGGTCTCACCTCTCATAGTAACTCTCTGCTTCCTGTTGTTTAGGTATTCCCTTATCCACTGGAGCACCTTACCACTTACTCCAGTTTGTTTCTCTAACTTATGAAACAGTCTCTGTCACACACTTTCTGACAGTCCAAGAAAAGTGAGTAAAGCTAAAGTGCAAAGTGTTAATAATGCAGTGTGGGAGTGGTACATGTACTTCAACATCTGAGGGTACCTCATCACCATCCCTCTCCATTTCAGTCAACCCAACACCCTTTACATCCACCACCTCTACCATATGAATAACCGTGCACCATTAATAATAATTTTCAGCTTCATAAAAAGATCAGAACTTCTCATATTGATGAGTACAAAAAGAGTTAAATTTTGTCCACTAGATTTTTAGGATGAAAAACCACTTACTGTCACACACAGAGATCACACTAATGTGATGCATCAAATGAACAAATCCACAAGGGCCGTGACGAGGATTCGAGCCTGCGCCCGGGAGCATCCCAGACACTGCCTTAATCGACTGAGCTACGACAGGGTTAAAAGGGGTCCCCTTTTAACCCTGTCGTAGCTCAGTCGATTAAGGCAGTGTCTGGGATGCTCCCGGATGCAGGTTCGAATCCTCGTCACGGCCCTTGTGGATTTGACCACTTACTGTATCTGCACACAACGGGGTATTTGTACAGTCTTGGTTTAAGGTATCTGGAAAGCACGTAGTCATCTCTGTGTATGCACATGTGTATGTAAATACAGCCCATCCTCCTGTTTTGGTAGTACTGTACTTACAGTAATGATAAGGAACATAGTACATATATAAACATACAACACAATTAGAAAGTAGAAATCATTACTACTGAATTTAGACAAACTAGAAAAGATTTTCTATTTATGTTGCAGAGACAAAATAAACTAACCTAACTTTCCTAGGCCTAATACACGATATCTAAGGTCTAATATAGTACATGTGTCCTATACTAGGCCTAGGAATTTTTAAGTTTATTTTTTGGCTTCATTTTTTGGACTCAATAAAGTGAATACTGCTGTACCAAATTCTATTAATTGCTTAGTATGTAAATCTTTGTACTATGGTGCACATAGTTACAAAAACTACTATCTAAAAAGAAGGATGGGTTGGTATATATGTATGTGTGCGCGCGCTCACCTATTTGTGCCTGCAGGATCAAGCATTAGCTTTTGGGCCCTGCCATTCCAGCCTTCAGTTGTTTACAGCAACAAGTCCTGTCCTGTTTCCCTATAATATCTACTTTTAAAATTATGACTGGAGTTTACTTTCCCAACCTGCTCCTTAAGATTATTCCATTTTCCCAATACTCTTACACTAAATGAAAACTTTCTAACATCTCTGTGATTCAGTCTCAAGATTCCACACATGCCCCATCGTTCTATTGGTATTCAATGTGAACATTTCTTCTATTTCTGCCTAGTCAATCCCCTTAAGTATTTTATAGTTTTTTTTTATGTCTTCCCTCTCTCTCCTTTTTTCTAGCATTGTCAAGTTCAGTTCTTTCACTCTTCATATACCATCTCTCGCAGTTTTGGGTTGAGTCATCACAAACTTCTGAACCATTTCCAGTTTTCTTATGTTTCTTTAGGTAGGGACTCGGAGATGGGGTGGCATACTCTAGGACTGGTCTCACGTAGGCAGTGTAAAGAACATAAGAATGAAGATAGCTGCAGAAGGCCTATTGGCCCATACGAGGCAGCTCCTATCTATAACCACCTAATCCCACTCATATACATGTCCAACCCACGCTTGGGGCCTAACCAGAGCAAGATATAGCTTAAGAACCACACCAGGTGTCTTGTTACTAACGCTTCGATTAATAAATCCCAGTGTCCTATTTGCCTTATTACGAACATTCATGCATTGATCCTTTTGTTTTATATTCTTATCATAACTCCCAGATCCCTTTCGCAATTCGACTTCGTAATCTCAACACCATCTAGCTCGTATCTTGTAACTCTATCATCATTACCTAGCCTCAAAACTTTACATTTATCAGCATTAAACTGCATCTGCCAATCCTTTGACCATTTCAAAACCCTATTTAGATCAACTTGAAGTGATAGTGAGTCTTCTTTCGTGTTAATTTCCCTGCCGATTTTTGTATCATCGGCAAATTTGCAAATGTTGCTACTCAAACCTGAATCTAAATCATTTATATATATTATAAACAACAGAGGTCCCAGGACAGAGCCCTGAGGCACTCCACTTACAACATTTTCTCACCCTGACTTAACCCCATTTATACTAACTCTGTTTTCTTTGGAATAGCCATGCCCTAATCCAACTTAATATAGCACCTCCAATACCATGAGCCTCTATTTTTTTAATCAGTCTTTCATGTGGCACCGTATCAAAAGCTTTGCTAAAGTCAAGGTACACGACATCACAATCCTTACCACTATCAACTGCCTCAACTATGCTGGAATAAAAAGATAACAAATTTGTTAAACATGAACGGCCATTTGTAAAACCATGTTGCGACTCATTTATTAATTTGTGTTTTTCAAGATGAAGACGAATTTTATTTGCAATTATAGATTCAAGTAACTTTCCCACAATAGACGTTAGGCTAATTGGTCGATAGTTTGACGCAAGTGATCTATCTCCTTTCTTAAAAATTGGTATCACATTAGCAACTTTCCATAACTCTGCCACTCTGCCTAACTCTATTGATTTATTAAATATGGTAGACAGTAGGTCGCAAAGCTCCTCTTTGCATTCTTTAAGCACCCTGGCAAACACTTCATCTGGCCCTGGGGATTTGTTTGGTTTGAGTTTAACTATTTGTTTAATTACATCCTCACTGGTAACTGCTAAACAAGTCAACCTGTCCTTGTCCCCACCCACATATACTTGTTCGGCTGAAGGCATATTGTTAAGTTCCTCTTTAGTAAATACAGATATAAAATATTTATTAAAAATACTACTCATCTCTTCATCATTATCTGTTATTTGACCTGTCTCAGTTTTTAATGGACCTATCCTTTCCTTAGTCTTTGTCCGGTATAACTGGAAAAACCCTTTAGGATTTGTCTTTGCTTGCTCTGCTATGCGAACTTCATAGTTTCTTTTTGCTTTCCTTATCTCTTTTTTAGTATTTCTAACCAGTTGTACGAATTCCTGTTCTAAACTGACTTCCCCATTTTCATACATCCTTTTGTATCACACACACTCTTTTCACCAATAAGGTTCTTCAGATCCTTTGTTATCCACTTTGGATCTTTAGTATTCGATCTATTCAATTTATATGGTATACTACATTCCTGGGCTTCACTTAGAATATTTTTAAATAGGTTATATTTTGAGTCCACATCGAAAACCCCTTTTACGTCACCTATCGCTGGGTTCACGTCTAGCTCTAAGACCGGCCCATACCCCATACCCAAGACTTTCCAATCTATTTGACCCAATAAATTTCTTAGGTTATTGAAATTAGCTTTTCGAAAATCAGGTACTTTAACAGAATTTTCTCCTACAGATCTATTCCATTCTATGCCAAATCTGATTTCTTTATGATCACTGTTCCCTAGCTCATTCCCTATTTCGATGTCCTTAATTTGTGTTTCCCTGTTAGTTAACACTAAATCTAAAATATTATTTTCCCGCGTTGGTTCCTTAATGTGTTGCATAAGAAAGCAATTGTCAATTAATTCTAGAAAATCTTCTGCTTCATTATTCCCTGTTTTGTTCAACCAGTTTATTCCACTAAAATTAAAGTCACCCATGACATAAATACTGTTAGATCTAGATGCTCTAGATATTTCATCCCATAGATACTTTGCTTCCATTCTGTCTAAATTTGGTGGCCTATATATAACTCCTATTATAATATTATTTGCTTTTTCGTTTAATTCTATCCAAATAGTTTCTGTGTGTGGCTCAGACTTGATTCCCTCTTTGAGACTACATTTCAAATTGTCCCTAACGTATATGGCTACTCCCCCTCCTCGTCTAATATATCTATCTGTGTGAAATAGTTTAAATCCATTTATTTGATATTCAGCTAATAGTTCTCTATTTTCTACATTCATCCACGTTTCGGTAAGCGCGA